AAAAAAGGTTTTCAATCTGGTCCAGTCTTTCCATTGTCCGCAGGCTAGGTTGATAAGGCGGATATTGTTACACTGAATTCTAGTCGCTACTGATGATAGTTTAGGTGAAGGTCAATACACCTGTTTTAGGAATTCTGAAATTCATGGGCCCTAGTGCGGTTCGTCATCAGCACCAACAGTAGAACATTCATTATGAAATAATGCTTTTATTAGTTGTGTAACTGAAATGTATACTCATTCGCTTTTATGCTAGTTTGGCAACATCTCATTCGTTACTTTTTTTCTTGTTTGCTGTCCTGCTGTTTCCGTTACTGCCTATTATTTCAGAAGGTGCTAGACTTCGCATAAGTGTTGCTCAGTTAATATCAAAATGCCAAATGTATTGCTGATCTTCAGGATTTTTGTTTACCTAGTCGAATGCAAGTGTACTGTTACATTTATGTACTTTTGCTCACCAAATGTTTCTTGAAATTATCATTTGCTGAAGCAGAACATCAGTGCTACTCATGCTTTTCATATTGTAAGACATTACCGAATGGAAGTATTAATACAGAAAACTGCGACTGTACGGGTCAATTTTGCACATCAGAGCACTGTTTTGCTAAAATTGAAATTTTTGCTGAAGAACAAACTGCTATAATTCAGGTAAAAAAGAATTTGACCAGAAAAAAAAATTTTTTTGTAAACATTTTTGCAATTGATTTTACATTTTTTATTGAAATAAATTTGTTGGTTTATTCAGTTCTGAGAAAATGAACTATTAAACCACAATTATTAATTTGTGGACAGTTTGACTTTTATGTGCTAAAATGAACAAAAAAATGGATTGTAAAAAGAAAACTAAATTGTGGATTTATCAAATAAATAGTTCAAATGTGGGCAATGAAAAATTGGAAAAAAATTGAAAAGAAAAAGTGGTGTGTATTTTTCAAGTATTACCAATGAAAAATCTAATTATATCTAGAAAAATTTCGTTTATTGTTTTATTTTTCTGTATTTTTCAAGAAGAAAAGGGGTTTTTAATAATATTTGTCAGCTGTTACGGCTTTTCTGTTCCGTTTGATCAGCAAAAACCCAATTTGGCCGTTACGATTTTAGAAGGGTTGCATTACGGACGTTGTCGGCAGTACAGAAGGTTGTCAGTATGCCGGTCATTCAGAGTCGGTTCATTGCTACTGTACTGGCAATCGCTGCAATTCTCGGGAACAGGTAGCTTGCTGTTAAATTCTTTTTTTTTTTTCAAATTTGTTAAAAATTTTTAAAAGTAGACAGTTTCTGTGAACGTTTTTGAAATGTTGTTTTAATAAGAATTGTAGTATAAAAAACTGTTTTATCTTTGAGCAAATTTTTTATGAATTTTTAAGAGGTATTTTTAGCAGTTGTGTCATTTTCACCAAAAAAAGTAGAAAAGTTTGCGAGAAATTTTAAACCATATCTTGTTAAGTTTATGAAACTTGAAGTGAAAGTAGAGGTAAGGAGTATTTAAAGAAAAAACTGCTTTAGTTCACATGTCGGGTTTCTTTCGTTCATGAGTCATTAAAATCAAAGACTCACATATAGTTCTCTTTCTAAAAAAATTGCGCAATCGTTTTCAACTATTTTCATTTTAAATTATTATCTCACTAGCTTATTAAAAGAAATTTTTTTTGTCTTACTTATCTCTCGTCTTTTCAAAATACTATTAGAAAAAAACTTGCAACAACGAAAACGATGGAATTTGATTTTGAAAAAAATGTGATTTTTCTTATTAGTTTATGAGACAAGGCGTTTTTGTTTTTGTTTTCAATAGAGTTCAGCACTTTTAGAATAACTGATAGTTTCTAAAGAACAAATTCGAAAAAAAAATGCAGGTCAGGGACAACTGAGAGTGATAAAAGAGTGTGAAATAAAAATACTTTTTGAAGTAAAACGGCGTTACTTTTAAGATGTTTGAAGCAATAAAACAGTAAAAATTGAAAAAAAAAAAGTAAAAGTGTTTTAAACTCATTACAAAAAGCATATGACAACAGATTGATATTGTTCACAGAAGGCAGTCAGCTGGAAACTACCTTTTAGCTAAACAACTTCAAACTGAAACCTTTGCCCAGTGTGGATTGCTGTGAATGTTCGGAACCACAGGAAGACAGGTGTCCAGATAAGAATTGTATTCGACGATGTCGTGGGAACTATTGCCTTATCGATTTTGATGGCATTGAACAGGTATTGTGCTAGAGTTTGATCAAATATGTGTGTTGATACACGTTGTTTTCTCAATTTGGTAAACAGAATTCTTTTTTGACTTTGACACTGATTTCTGACTCCTACAAGTGTCGCGTTTTCTTAAAAATTAGTTTTTTGAGAAAATAACTAAAAAAAATGAACAGACCGAATAGCAGACTCCAATTTGTTGGCACTGCTCAAAGGTCGTTTAGTGAATAAGAGACCAAATTCAGCTAGGATAATCAATGAAAGCAATTTAAAAACAACACTTGAAACTATTTCTTGAAATTTTCTGTTGTTTTGCAGGGGTGCGGCTTAGGGTACCCTCGCTTACAAAGCTTTTTACGTACCAGAAATTATGCTGATTGGCAAGGAAAAACTACTTGTGCCAGGTTAGCTACTGTATAATAGCTGTTGCCTTGTTTCTTATAACATTATCGCAGTGCAGCTACTGCTGTTCAATAATGGAATTTGATGCAGGCGTTCATTTGTCTTCTTTCGGAGGAAACTGCATAGAATTGAGGCTGCGCTTTTTTATTTGATTGGCTTCTTGCAACTTTGTTGTTTAATAAAGCTTAATACTTGAAAATTAAAAAGGTGACTTGAAAACTGGGCTTCTTCTTCCTCTGAGAAAAATTAAATCTTTTAAATTAAAATTAAATCTTAGAGTTTAGAAATTTTACAGTTTCTGCACAGTTCGTATTTTTTGTAAACTTTTCATTTTTTTCATAATCAAGCACTTTTCAACTCAATTAAGAGTTGTTTTTCTACAGACTCAAAAAAAAGAAAAATTTCTTATAAAGCTTAGCTTAGCGAAAAAAATAGTTAAAAAAAATTGAAATTTGTCTTTGGGAATTTTGTTTTGCTGAGTAGGAAATTGTATAAAATTTTACAGTTAATTCATCTGTGAAATTTGATTTTTCTTCTTACTTTAACTACACATAATTCTCATTCTACAATACACGAGGTGAATTCATATGTGACTTACTTCTTATAACAGTTGAAGGAGCTATAGGAAATAGAAGAAATTATTTTGTATACAAAAGTATAACTTCAAAACTTGGCAGAGCGTACC